ATTATTATTATCATTACTATTATTATTATTATTATTATTATTATTATTATTATTATTATTATTATTATTATTATTATTATTATTATTATTATTGTCATTACTATTATTATTATTATTATTATTGTCATTACTATTATTATTATCCAATCGCTTATTGATTATTGCTAATTTTAATTGTCTCTATTTTCATTATTATTGTTATTACTATTAATAATACTTATTTTAAATGTCCAATTTACGTAAATGATTAATGTGTGTAAATATCATTATGTGTATTATAATCATTTAAAATGTGTTAATTGCGTATTATTACTAATATTTAAATGGGTGTAATATATATATATAAGTATTCGGTTTATATTTGATTTATCGTTCGTTTATTATCGAGTCTCGTATATATATATATATATATATAATTATCGAATCGAAAACTGAGCCCGAGAACCGGACCAAATTCATGAAGCCACATGAACCGAGCCCCAGCCCATCAAACCCAGCCCAGCAGACCGGTTTTCCTTCCTCTAGGCGTGCGTGTAGTTCTTGGGGGAAAAGAAAATCTAAGTCTATGCTGCTATATATATATAGACATATATAACATCATATTTTCCTTCATCTTGTCGATAAAACACGCAGACCCTAGCTTGAGACCACAAGGGCGGCAAAGCTCTCCCTCAAGAGTTTTAACACTGCTGCATTCTCAGGGCTCGAACTGGAGACCACTGGTTAAGCTGGAAGAGACCCAAGTCATCTCATCCAAGCATATATCTTTTAATTATTAACATATTCTCATTCCCGCAGCCTCCGTAATCTGCTCTATCTCTCGCTATTTCCTCTCATGTCACCATAATCGTCATTGATCATCATCATCGATAATCACCATAATCACCACAACAGCACCCTCAATTCTCAGTCATCAGGACCGCAACACCATCGTTGTCGTGATCATCTTTCTACCATCGCCGCCACTGTTCACCGCTAACAAGTCCCAACAACACTGCCACGCAAGGAGGAGACTTCCAGCAGGTCGCTGCCCGTCTTCGGACCATCGTTCTTAGCCGACGGGTCCCGTCGAGTCCCGTCGCGCTCCGTCGGAATGCCGATCAAAGCCGGCGAATTCCGGCGTATAATTTTCTTTTCGCCGCGATCAGTTGCAGAGCAACCATCATCACCATCAACCCGCAGCCATCGCCTCCATCCCCGTGGTCCTCTCTGTTCATCGCCGTCAAGGACCATCTCTCCGCCACGCCGCGACCGATCAACCCCGCAGGCTATCCCGTCTTCTTCCTCGTGAAATTCCGGCGAGTTGCAAGACCCCAGACGTCAACCTGCTCGCGATCATTCCGGCGAGAGCCATTCCCGTCGCTACAGTCCCCGGCGAGTCCCTCAGTGTTGCAGCATCTCCGCGAATCCCTGTCGCTGCTCTCCCGCGAGCCCCGTCGATCACAACCTCGAGCCATCCGGGGAAGTTCGACACCTTCTAACGAGTTCGCCGTGCTCAACCGATGCTGCACTCTATTCCCGGCGAGACGAGGCAAAGCCGTCGAGCCTACCGATTGTACCGTTCGTCCCTTTCGTTCCGTTTGTTTTCGATCGTTTCCCAAGAACGGTACTTGCGCTCGAACCTCGTCTCGATTATTTTCGTAATATGTGATAATTGCTTGTATATGACTTGGTGTTGCTGATCGTGTGCTTTCCGAATGATTATGTGCTGTAATTAAGCATACGTGTGAAATTTGGATATACTTATTGCCATTGGGTATCAAAGTGATTGCTGTCACTTTGAAAATTGTCGGACTGAGATTATGTTGTATTTTCCATGGAAGTGATGTGGATTATTGGACTTAGAAATGTCCTTGGCGCACTGGCTTTGGCCTTGCGTCGTTTCGATGTGTATTAAGTGAGTTATGGATTTTTGAAAATCGTGCTGCAGCCCGTTTTTGCTAAAATCATTATAAATCGTATATTGCTCCAAACATTCTGATTTTTGGATATGAGGTCAAGTTGGTTTTGTATTGCTTGTGATAAAAATTTGAGATTTTTATGTGGTATTTAGCCTCTTCAAAACTCGAAAACCGTTTCTGGGCTATTTCGTAATAAATTCATCTAAAATCGAGTTCTTGTACAAAATTACTAATTTTAGAATATGTTGTTGTCCTTCAGAATATCTTGCTGCTGTAAAAATGTGAAGTTAAGATTCGGACTGTAGCTATTTTAAATAATTTAATTTAATTTCTGGTCAGATTTTGAGTAAATTATTTAAATAGTAAGGAGCATGTTGAATGGTTTTCCTTTGGTGAAAATGTGTGTTTTTCGGCCCTTTATATGCTGTAAAAATTTGAATTGAAATATCCAAGTCTAACTCCTTATAGCCCTATTCTTATAAAATTCGAACTAGCCTTTTTAACCGTTGACCCCGTTTTTGTGTCAAACATTCGTTGTCTGCTTTTAGGTGATTTATTAATTGGTTGGTCGAGTCTAGGAGTCTTTCTAATGTTCCAACTCCACAACTTCCACGATTTTCTTAGTCGATGTAATTCGACTAAGTATAATTCTAGTTATGTGTGTAAGAGTCGAGATAGTTGCTTATGGGACTGTCTTGACTTATGTAGGTGTCTGAGGAGAAGAGTCTCGACCAACTACGACCTTCTGAATAATTTTCTTTATCAACCGATACCAGGTGAGTTTATTTGTTATATGCTATGCTTTAATTAATTGCTTTTGTTGTAGTATGATCAATGTATGCATGTGAACCATGTAGCCTTCGATGTGAGCTACATTGGCCGTCGAACGATTATCCCCGTAGCTATAGAACGTTCCTTCGGGTAGTCTCCTTTATTATTGTTGACAGTCAGGGCGTGAGCCTTGGCTGGTGATCCTCGTATGTAAGGCCAAGGCGAAAGATTTGGCATTCGGGGTGGATTATTGCTTCTGCTGGCCGGGCACTCGTTGTAAGGCCTTCGAGAAAGGCGTTCGTTATGTAGCTCGGCAGTAGTCTATTGTTATAGGTGTGCACATGAGACCATTATTGCTTATTGATAGGAGATGGGACGGTTATTGATTCGTATACATGCTGCGACCATACTTGAATTGTTTTCATGATTATTGAGATTAATTATTGCATAGCGTTGAGCACCTCGACTTTCCTATTGTGTTCATCCCCACCTGCTCTTCATGGATGCAGCTTAGTTTATGCGGCACGGCGGAAGGGATGCAATTGGTGGTTTTTAATTTGAATAAATGCTTCCGCTTTGAACTGAACTCGGATACTATTGCATTATTAATGATTATAGTTTTCTAGTATTGGAGTATTGGATTATTGATAGGGATTATTTTCCCTAAATCATTATCGTATTATTATTGCATTATTGGGATTTTATTATTGATTATGAGTATTGATACTTGCCGAGTATTGAGAATATGTTGAGTATTGATTATTGTTCTTAAAATGAGTAGCGCCTCAAATATTGTTTTAGAAATAAATTGAAAAATTTACCCCGGATTTTGGCAATTAAAATTGGGGCGTTACAGTTTGGTATCAGAGCCAGTCTGTGTTTCTGTATACTGGTTTAAGTATGAAAATTGATTATGTGATTATGTGTTAAGACCACTCGCTTCCGTCGTGCCGCGCCAGCTCAGGTATGAGTACCTGAATCACTTTCAGATTATTGTATATTGTTTGATTATTGATTATTGAAATGAAATCGGGGTTAGGACTAATCCACCTTTAAAAATGTGAACTCTAGTGTTTGACGTTGAACTCTAGTGATATAAAGTTAAGTTCAGACTCTGGAGGTTCCTAGTTGTGAGTTTCAGTATATTGTTGTCGAGATAAGTGTTGTCTATAGCATTTTCTTGCCATAAGATTCTGTTCAGTGTCCTCGAGTAGGACCATTCGTGACTCATCTCGAAAGAGAAAGGTTAGGTACCGAGTGAATCTCTAGTGTATGAGATCACTCGGGGAATTAGAACCTCAGTCGTAGAGTACCGGAAGTGTCATTTAGATGTCGCGTTCAGGTTGTTGA